CTTGTACTGTCACCAAGGCTGGAGGGCAGTGGCATGTGATCTTAGCTGACTGCAACCTCCGCCTCCTAGGTTCAAGAGATGCTTGTACTTCAGACTCCCAAGTAGCTGGAATTACAGGTGCCCACCACCACGCCTGGCTAATTTTTGTATTTTTAGTCAAGATAGGGTTTTACCAGCTTGGCCAGGCTGGTCTCAAACTCGTGACCTCGGGTGATCTGCCCTCCTGAGCCTCCCAAAGTGCTGGAATTACAGACATTAGCCACCACTCCTGGCCTGTACCAAACATTTAAGGAAAAAACTATATTAATTCTCTGCAATCTTTTTTGGCAAACAGAAGCAAAGAGAATACTTCCCAAGTTACTCTTTGAGGCCAGCATTATCTTAATACCAAAACCAGGGAAAGACAAGGAAACTATAGACCCATATCTCTTGTGAACATAGATGCAGAAATCCTTAACAAAATATGAGCAGATCATATCTAGCTATGTAGAAAAAGAATTTCATACCATGACCAAGGGAGATTTTACCCAGGTGCACAAGGCTGATTCAACATTCAAAATCAATTATTGTAATCAATCACATCAACACCTGCTGACGCTAAAAATAACTCCCAGCAAACTAGGAATAGAAGGGACCTTAAGGAATATCTACAGAACTCTACAACAACCATTATACTTAATGCTGAAAAACTAGAAGCTTTCCTGCTAAGACTAGGAACAGGGTAAAAATGTCCCCTCTCACATCTTTTCTTTATCACACTAGAAATCTTAGCTAATGAAATAAGAAAAGCAAAAAAAGATATGAAGTTTGGGAAGGAAGTCAAAATTGTCTTTGCTTGCATGTAAGATGGTTGTCCATGTAGACAACCTGAAAGATTTGACCAAAAACAAAACTAACAAAAACAACTCTTGGAACTAGTAAGTGATTGTAACAAGGTTGTAAGGATATAAGGTTAATATACAAAAGTTAATCACTTTTCTATATAGCAGCAATGCACTAGTGGGATTTGAAATTAAAAACAATGCCATTTACATTACTATCCAAAAAGTGAAATACTTAAAAATCTAACAAAATATGTGTAAGGCCTATAGAGGAAAACTACAAAACTCTGATGAAAGAAAATTTAAAAGGAACTAAATAAATGGGAAGATATTCCCAATTTATGTATAGGAAGACTCAATACTATCAAGATGTTGGTACTTCCCAAATCAATCTATAGATTTAACGTAATTCCACTCAAAATCCCATCAAGTTGTTATGTAATAGTCAAACTGATTCTAAAGTTTATATGGAGATGCAAAAGACCCAGAATAGCCAACACAGTATTGAAGGAGAAGAATAAAGCTGGAGGACTACTGACCCTACCTAACGTTAAGACTTCCTATAAAGCTATGGTAATCAAGGCAGTATGGTATTGGTGAAAAAATAGCCTAGAAATAGGTCAACCCACTTAAATATACAGTCATCCTTCAACATCCATGGCGGGAATTGGTTCCAGGACTCCCCATGGACACAGATGCTCAAGTCCCTTATATAATATGGTGTAGTATTTGCATATAACCCACATCCTCCCAAATGCTTAAGTCATTTCCAGATAACTTATAATTACTGCAATTTAAATACTATGTAAATAATTGTTATATTATGTTTAATGACAGTAATACAGTATAATACAGTAATAATAATGTCATTAATGGAATAATGACAAGGAAAAACAGTGTCAGTACAGATGCAACCATCCATTTTTTCCCAAATATTTTCTATTCATTGTTGGCTGAATCTATGGATGTGGAACCCACAGATAACAGAGAGCTGACTGTATTCAACTGAACCTTTGACAGAGGAGCAAAGAAAATAAATTTTAAAAAGATCCTCTTTTCAACAAATGATGCTGGAACAACTGGACATCTATCCACATACAAAAAAAAAAAACCATGAATCTAGACATAGACTCTCCTACAACCTTCACAGAAATTTACTCAAAATGATCACAGACCTAAATGTAGGATGTAAGCTATAAAACTTCTTGAAGTTACACTAGGAGAAAATCTAGATGACCTTGCATGTAGCAATGGCTTTTCATATACAACACAACATCAAATTCATGATCCATGAAGGAAATAAATGATAAGCTGGACTTCATTACAATTTAAAACTTCTCTATGAAAGACACTTTCAAGAAAAAGAGAAAACAAGCCACACGTTGGGAGAAATATTTGCAAAAGTTATATCTGATAAAGGACTGTTATCTAAATTACAAAAAACTCTTAAAACTCAACAATACAGAACAAATACCCAGTTTAAAAATCAGCAAAAGACCTGAATAGACACCTCACCAAAGCAGATACACAGATGGCAAATAAACACATGAAAAGATAGTTAACATCATATGTCAATAAGAAATTGCAAATTAAAACAAAAATGAGATAGCTCCAGACACCTGTTAGAGGACCAAGATCCAAAACACAGACAATACCAAATGCTGACAAGGATGTGTAGCATCAGGAACTCTCAGTCATTGCTGATAGAGATGAAAATGGTACAGCCACTTTACAAGGCAGTTGTAGATTTCTTATAAAATTAAGCAGATTCTTACATACAGTTCAGCAATTGCGCTCTTTGGTTGAAAACTTACATCCACATGAAAACCTTTGCACGAATATTTACAGCTGCTTTATTCATAATAGCCCAAACTGGAAAGCAGTCAAAATGTCCTTCAGTAGGTGAAATGGTTAAATAAACTCATATATCTAGACAGTGGAATACTCTTCAGCACTAAAGAGAAATGAGTTATCTATCAAGCCACGAAAAGACATGGAGGAAACTTAAATGCATACACCAAGTGAAAGATGCTGTTCTAAAAAGGCAGTATGCTATATGATCCAACTGTATGACATTCTGGAAGAAGGAAAACTACAGAGCCAATGGAAAGATCAGTGGTTAGGAGGAAGAGAGGGAGGAATAGGCAGAGCACAGGGGAATTTTAAAGCCATGAAACTCTTCCGTATAATATTGTAATAGTGGATACGTGTCATTATACTCTGGCCAAAACTCATTGAACATACACCACCACGAGTGAAGCTTGATATAAACGATGGATTTTGAGTGATAATGAAGTGTCCGTATGAGTTCACTGATTGTAACAGATGTACCACTCCAGTGGAGGACGCTGATGGGGGAGGGGTTATACATGGGTGGGGGCAGGCGGTGAAGGAGAACTCTACTCTCCACCCAATTTTGCTTTGAACCTAAAACTGCTCTAATAAATAGACTATGTTATTTAATGTTATGTGAGGAAGGTTTAACCTGAGAAAATCTTTACAATATATTATTGATTTTCAATAATTATTAAACAATTTCTCCTCCTTGGTGTTGTTTTTCTCTGCCACTGGTCTTTACCTCTGTCTTGTTTGTTTTGGTTTTTGAAACAGGGTCTTGCTCTGTCATGCAGGCTGGAGAGCAGTGGTGTGATCATAGCTCACTGCAGCCTCAGACTCCCAGGCTCAAGTGATCCTTTCACCTCAGCCTCCTGAGTAGTTGGGACCACAGACACATGCCACCATGCCTAGCTAATTTTTTTTTATTTTCCTTAAAATATGAAAATAGGGAGACAGTGTCTCCCTAGGTTGCCCAGGCTGGTCTCAAACTCCTGGCCTTAAGCAGTCTTCCCACCTTGCCTTCCCTGCACAGACTTCTCTATTTTATTCACAACCATAACCCTACCTCCTAGTAGAGAGCCTGGCATATTGTAAATAAATAAATAAATAAATAAATAAGCAACAGTAATAGTTTAATACTGAAATAGTATATTTAATGATGTGTTGGGTGCTGTTAAGTACTTTACATATATATCTACTCATTTAAACTTTGTAACTTTGAAGTAAGTACTTATTCCCAGTTTACAAATGGAGAAACTAAGACACTAGGAGGTCAAGCAACGTGCCCAGATTTACATTGCTAGTAAGTGGTAGAAACGGAATTTGACCCCAGGCTGCATGATCTGAATGTTTGCTCTTCATCAGTTTATACCACCTTTCCTTAGAAGGCAGTCCACAATATTTTTGATTGGGTGAATGAATGAGTAAATGAGTACGAGTGAAAGAATGAAATGAAAAGGCAACTCTTAATATAGTATTACTAGTCTATGGTTATTTTAAAATGTATCATGTACAGTATCCAAATTTTCATTATTACTAAGTGATGATAAATTGTAGTAAAGTCACACAGTGGAATATTATTTAGCAATGAGGAAAGTGAGTTACAACTACATATATCAGCGTGTATGATTCTCGTGAGCAATGTTGAGCAAAAGAAGCCAGACCCTAAAGAGTATCTGTTTACTGTTCCATCTATACCAAGGACAAAAGAGGCACAAGTAACCTGTACCATAGAAGTCAGAATGCTGGGAACCCTCTGGGAGGAGCTGGAAGGGCACCACGGGTGGCTTTTTGGAAACAGGAGTGTTCTCCCCTTTATCTGGTGCTGGCTACATGGGTGTGTTCCATTCGTAAAATTTATTTCAGCTATACATGTATATCTGCAGTTTTTTTTGATTGGTAAATTCTACTTTAATAAACAGCTCTTTAAATGGCTAAGTTCGAAAAAAGCGTCAAAAAGATAAATATGAGTTTGAAAGTATATTTGCACAAAACATTCATTAACTGTAGATATTTTTTTGGAAACAGTGCTATGAGTAATTTTCAGTTTTATTTTCGAGAGTTCTTAGGTTTTTCAGATGTCATAAAATTGTCACATATTACCTGTGTAATTTGATTTCTAAAATGTGATTAAAATGAACTTGCCCCAAAATTGACCTATGGTCCCACTCATGCGTTGGGCACGTGGGTGTTGGCCCCTGATGGGCGACAGCAGGGACACCAGCCCACTGGCTACCTTGCTTGCCTGCCTGCTTTAGTCACAGTCTTTCAAGCCTCATAGGACGTTCATGGATTTCTAATCAGTGTTTTGTGTTTGTCTTACATTTTTACTCCCTTTTCCAGGCTGAACAGTCAAAAGAAGAGCAGAAGCAAGGTTTGAATGCAGAGAAATTGATGAGGCAAGTCTCCAAGGATGTGTGTCGGCTCCGGGAGCAGAGCCAGAAGGTGCCTCGGCAGGTGCAGTCCTTCAGGTGAACGGCCCCATCCAGGACAGCTTTTGCATTGTCCTCACGTGGTCTGGTTTTGTAGGAATTCTCCTCAGTGCAGCGAAAGTTAATATTAGGATCTGAGAGAGAAATCCCCTGTTCCCCACTTTGAATATATAATTTTCCGTTTGCACCTTCCTGAGGTGATAAATGTGACTGATAGAGTTAAATACTGATGAAAGCCTATCTCCCCCCAAGAACCCAAGCAGGGTGTCCGCAGCTCTTAGTAGCTCTTAGCATATCTCACTGGGCTATCTTCACACAGGATACAAAGGTACAGAAAACCCAGATATCTTTGGACTTTTGTTCACTCATTTTACAGGCATTCCTTGGGCAGCCCCATAAGCCTTGCACTGTGTCAGGCCCTGAGATACGGAGGCTAAGAACATGTGTGTTCTGCTCTTCTGGGGGGGCCCTGGGCTGTAGCAGGGACAGGTGGGTAACCAGGTCATTCAGTGCATGTGGAAAGAGCTAACTAAAGGTATAGGTAGAGGGACCTGTGAGAGATGCAGGAGGAGCCTCAGTTTGTGTGGGGCAGGTGCTGGGGCTGCGGGCACCAGCAGGAGGAGGTTATAAGAGAACCCATCATGAAAGGGTGGCTGCGAGTTCCTTAGGCACCTAGAGGTGGCAGTTTGGAGTGGGACATCGAGGCAAGAAGAAAAGCACTGATAGAGGCACAGACCTTAGAAGTCAGTCCCAAGCTCTGTGGCGCATGGGGAGTTGCCAGCTGGTGAGCCTGCCTGGGAGAGCTGGGCTCAAACTACACAGGCCTTGGGTGCTGTGCAGGCTTCCACCTGCGGTTCCAGATGCTGGGGGAGCCAGCAGGGCTTTCCCTGCACAAAAGTAAATGACGGGGTTGGGCTCTGTGTGGGGCAGACATCAGAGCCATGGTGGAGAGTGAGTGGGGAGAAATGGGTAAGGATGCCCAGTTAGGTTCATGGGAGGTTCATGGGGGGAGTGGTTGCCCTGTGATACCAGCACTCCACATGGAGAGCGCTGAGGACCAGGGGTATGAGGATGATGCTGACCTCTGCCATGGGCACACCAGGCAATGCCAGCAGGCCAGTGAGGTAACCATGACCAGAGACAAGTGGGAGTAAAAATCCAAAGCTGGGGTTAGGGGTCAGTATGGAGATTTTAAAATGGGAGTGCTCATCCTCGATGCGTGGTCCCATCAGTGGAAATGGAACAGACATCCCAGAAAATGTGAAGGTTGGGGGAAGGAGGTCTGGTGGGCACCAACCACTGAAGGGCACACCCCAAAAGAGATACTAGAAGGAATGGCTGGAGAGGTCAGAGGTCGGGGGCCTGGGGCCGAGGGTAGGGAGATGAGATCGATGGAGAGAACTGAAAAGCACACTTGGGATCTGAGCATACCAGGGATGTTTTCAGTCCCGTCGGAGGGAGCTCAGCAAAAAGGTTTGCTCATACTGGGTTTTGGTTTGGTTTTGGTTGGTTTTGTATAGATGCATCTTTGGAAAGCATTTAGGCTAAGCAGCAGAAGCCCAGAAGAAGCGGGTGTTTTTGAAGTCTGGGTAAGGTGGGTCACATGGTGGAGCAGGGACACCTTTGGCAGGCAGGCTGGGGTCCAGTGCCAGGCAGGAGGACAGGGCGACACACTGTGCGGCCGCAGCAGGGTGTCTTAGTAGGCTCGCAGCTCTTTCATTTTTATGTGACATCTTGTAGTAGAGGGTTCTTCCACCCTCTTTTCTGCCAAAGAAGCACATTTGTGACTTAGTGAGTACTACGACTTGGGTTTTAGAAGTGCAGGTGAGGAGAATCCATTCATGCCTTTGGTGCTGTGGTCACTCTGAGAGTAGGCAGCATTGACGAGCATGGAAAGTCACACAACTCACAGTTGTTACTGAAACCCAATGGAAAGAATCCATGAACATTCCCAGCTTCCCTTAGGATCCAAAGGCATTACGTCACCAGGCAAGTGATGGGAATGATGAGATGGCCCACAGTAGATAGACCGCGCTGGCAGCATAGCGGCCTGTGCGAGGGATTAGCACAGTTGCCGTTGCCTGGCCTGGGGTGGTGAGAGACTGCGCAGTGGTGGGGTCTGGGCGTTCTGCCCAGCACCACCCCAGCCGCTTGTTTGTCCTGGAATCAGGAACACAATGGTCCCTGGCCTTCTTATTTTTCAAGAGAAGTTAGAAATTAAGAATTCGATGGGAAGTGTCTCAAATGCAGGCACTGGCAACTCACTCAGGTATTTTTTAACACCCCAGTTGCCAGCTGCACTGAAGGCCTCCAGTGACATCATGCCCACACTCTTGGTGCGTTTCGTTCTTGTTTCCCTCTTACGGAATTGAGCAAATGTCAAGGACACTGTTCATAGCAGTAGCTCATTCCAGTGTCCACAGCGTTTTCTCTCCTCGTTTTCTTCTCTATCCTTTCTCAGTCTTCGGAACACCCCGCCTCAGCTCTGGTTTCTAACCTGCACCTCCTCCTCCTCCATCTGGACTGTTCTTTCACAAGGGAGGTCCAACGTGCCCCTTGCATGTAATATGCCCTGAGGAAATATGTGCTGACGGCATGTCATGTACAGTGTGAAGTTTTGTAGGAAAATAGACACACTGTTGTTGTTTTTTTTTTTTTTTTCCCCAGTATGCTCGTCACCTGAAAGCCACTCTGCCCTTTCTCAGCTTCTCCTCTGCTTTGAGACAAGGGCAGTTACTGCCTTTCAGATAGTAAGCTCCTCCTCCTCCTTTCATTTGTGTTGTGGTATCACTCATCAGGTTGTGCCTGCCTCGGCATGGTATCAATTTTAAAGATTTTCCCGGTATTATGTACTTTCCTGAGAGGTTACTGAAAAGTTTCCATGTAGAATTTTGGGCCTTTTGAGCCCTCTACTGCCTAGTTTGGAAACACTCATCCTAGACCAAATCCCTGCTAGTTTAAAAACTGCCTCCTGATGGAGGTTCCCTGAAGGGAACTTAGAGGCTTGGTCTGTAGGTGACTTCCGTGAGCCAGAGCTGCTGTTCTCCTTGATACCCTACATTTAGCAGGCAGAGGCTCTCTTGATTTCAAATGGAGTTTTGCTTAAGGGAAAAAGCTCCTGCCTGTGCGTGTAGAGACATCACCGCCCCTGCAGGTCATGGGGATTGTTTTGACGGTCCTAGATAATTTTTAGTATCATATGTAAGTCAATTTATTTCTCACTCCAAATCTAGGGAGAAGATTGCCTACTTCACCAGAGCAAAGATAAGCATCCCATCCCTGCCGGCTGATGATGTGTGATTATGTGGCTTAAGAAATTATTTTTCATCTGTTCACTTTCTTAGGGAGGGTAAAAGACTGAAGATCTGTTTGGTTTTTGTTTTGGTGTTTGTTTGTTTTTTGTTTTGTTTTGTTTTTGGTAATATGACTGTCAACTCTTGAAGGACTTCTATTTCACGTTAGATTTTCAACACATTAATTTGTAAAATACCTTGAGTGTAATTTTTATATGCTTAAAAAAGAAAAAATTGATAAGAAAAATGGGATAATCTGATACACAAATGTTGCCCAGTATGTACGTATTGCCAGTGGGCTTTCTTTCGTAAAAATGGAATGTAGGCAGGACCCCACGTGTGTACCGTTGAGCCGACTGGAGAAAGAACTTGTTTTAGCAGGTAGTTTTGCTTCTCCTTTCCATTGCTGTGAGTAGGCTGTGCCGACGGCAGCAGCGCCACGTGGCATCTGTGCACCGGCGAGGAGAGGAGCGCTTTCCATTTGGAGGGCAGCGTGAGCATGAGCTGGAGTGCAGCGTTCCAAGTCCATTCAAAATGGGTGGTGCATTCATGGCCATCACCTGTGCAGGAACACCTGATTTTCTTAAAACAATTTCCTTTTTGTCCTTTTGTATTTTTCTAAAGAAAACTAAAATATAAACTACCAAATGCTCTTAAGAATATAAGTGTACAAAGCAGCACTGCTCTTGGCTACACTAAAGATCTTGGGATTCATGACACTGAGGGCAGGGAGAAGAAAGAACACCAGCCATGCAGAGACACATGCAAATAAGCTCATCAAATGAGCAGCCGCTTTCTCTCACTCGGCCTGACTTTGCATAAATGTTCAAATGTGAGTTTCTGGCTTGCACCAGTGGTTTGTCCTAAGTCTAAGCACGGTGCCAAATGGAGGCCCTGTGTTCTGAGGACAGAGGGAGCTGGAGGTGTGGAGGGAAACACATCAGCACTCATTTGGTGTAACCAGGAAGAGAGGAAACGATGTCTTGATAGAATCAAAGTTGCCAAAAACAAAAAAGAGTTTATCAAGCAGATTTCTAACATTTAGTAGAAATTACTTCATAGCTCTCATTTTTAGGGGATTCGATCTATAATTTATGGTAAATAGTTGGGAGGCAAAGGGAAGACTGTGCCTGGGGGGATTATTAATCTGAAGAATAAGCTAAGCTGTTTATAAAAAAGACGATTTTGGATGAACAAGTTTAGAGATATAAACTGACTAATGTGTCTTCCAGTTTAGAATTTCAGCTTACCCAACCCAGGCACATCTTAAAAAAACAGATCCTCAGTGCACCTCTGACAGCATCAAAGCTTTTAAAATAAATAGTATTTAGGCCATTTAAACCATACTTACCACTCAGAAACAATTTTGGGTTCGCCATCTAATACAGCAAATGAAATCAATTTTTTTAAGAAATGCAAAATTGTCTTAAAGATATGGACCTCTTAAAAAAAAAATGTGTTCCTAAGTTAGAATGCTCACTAGCAAGAATTTTTATTTTCTCGAAATCAATTATATATGTTTTGGAAAGTTCATGTTATTGGAATCGAAGTTCAAATTAAGCAACTTCTGAGCCTAGAACTTTATTTTTTCCTGAATGTCCCACCACTTAATACAGATTTCTCTGAAGACATAACTGGACATGACAGACACTACTTTCAACAAAAACCAGCCCAGGGAATTGACTGCACACAGTCCTGTAAGGCTGCTCAGTTCATTCTATTAGATGACTAAGGAAAACTAGAGAAAGAACACAGTTCACCCTGTCAAGGTCAAATGTGAAAGGCAGAAGTTTATTTAACATAGAGGTAAATGAAGGTGAGCTGTTTCCAGTCTTAGTTTGACCATGAAAATGTCTATAGAATTATGTGTAGTTGTTCCATACAATTTTATTTTCTTCATTTATTTATTTACAGTCTTATTTATGTTCTGTTTAATATATAGTTTGATTCTGGCCATTTTAAATATTTGACACAGAAGAGACTATATTGGAATATTTACAGCTTTATAAGTCTTTCATCAGATTAGCTGTTGACTTTTTGTAATACAAAAAGTTTCAGACAAGTATTAAAGAATAAAATCTGTCTCAGGCCGGTAGTTAGCAGTTGTGACCAAGATGCTTTTGGTTGTTGTATTTTACAAAATTTCCTCATTTCTAACATGAAAGATGAACTTATTTTAATATAATCCTTTTTCTACACTTTAAAAGTCAGCAATAGTGTTATGTATTTGTAGGCAGCTTTTAATAATCTTGTCATATTTGTACTAACCCAAATGATCACAGTGACAAAACATTTTAATAACTTGATCACAAAACCATATGGACAAATATGAATTTTAATATTATAAATACTATTTTTAAAAGGCAGAATTTATTCACACAGGGTAAAAAAGAATGTAATATTTAGTTCTCAAGTTTGAATTATCAGTATATTATTACAATTTTGTATATCAGAATCTTAAGTGTTACAGGTACAAAAAGAATATTGCTAGCCAAATGAACAAAGTTTAGCTGAATCTCTGTAGCATGCAAATCAAATTAATTAAATTTTTTTGCTATTGCTTTATCTATATTGTATTAACTACCAAAAGCTCAGGACTGAACTAAATATTTAATCAGGTTAAATTCTGAACATGTTTCTGTCTTAATTTGTCTTGTTTGTAAACGTATGCAAATACATCACATAGATTAACTTTGGTTTCTGCACTTTCCATGTGTTTGTGGGTGGAAAAAAATTCAGTGGGTTTTTTTTAAAAAACAAAAAACAAAGATACATATTGCCTAACACTCTATTTCAGTGTCGTTTATTGTTCAGTTTATTTCCCTGATTGGCACAAATACAAGAATTTCCTTGAGCCATGTACCAAGCAAATACAAAATATTTCATGAAGAAATCTCCAGGCCAACAGTTTGCGATGAATAGTTCTTGTTGGAACTATGTGTATTGCTGATAAAAAGGAGGAAGTATTTTCATTGTGCAAATAAAATGAAGGGCTCCGGAATATGTGCTCTGTCGTCGCACCGTCTGGGCTGGCGGTACGCTGCACGGTGAGGCAGCCTTCCCAGGAGGCTCTCCACCCGCACACCTGGCCTGGCCTGCTGCGCGCCCCTAGGCTGCAGAGCCGGCGAAGCCAGAAGTGCTGCCCATCAAATACAGAGCACAGGATGCAGAAGCACGATTGTGCGGCCCAGTCTACGTGACTCATCCAAAGCACAAGATGGCCCTCCTGCTTCTGACATAGTAAAGAAGGCATGATTGAAGGTGGCTGCATTTTGAAAAAAGGCTTCATGGAGATACTGAGATCTCTGACTCCGAAGGAGATGTGTCTACACCTTTTACTTCTAAAGCTTTTAAGGAGCCAATGATAATTTAATATAATAAGATGTCGTGCATTTTAAATGAATATGCAACAGGACCTCAGGTTTATCGTACTAGGTTACCTTAAACACCTGAAAGAAGTACATGAATGCCAAAATGATTCAGCTCCATATGAATAATACCTTCAAAGGTACATAAGGATTAATTTAATGCTTTATTTACCACTTCTATGCAGTCACCATTTTAAAATCGAGAAAACTCATCCATGGTAATGGGTGTCATTACTATTAAGTCTTGATTGGTTTTGGTCTCAGAGTGGAAGATAGAAGTGGTTCACCAGTCCTAGAAAGAAATTATAGTTTACTAGCCACAGGAAAAAATACATTTTAGAAAACAAGAAGCATAGTGAGATGATGATAGTGGGAAATCCTACCAAACCCAGCATTGAGCTGGCTCCTCCTGCACAGCAGACGCTTGTCGTTTCTGGCTTAGTTTTTCAGGCTGGTGTTTCTCGTCTCCAATTGCTGATGATCATCTTCCATTTGTACCACTGCACAGTGGCCCGAAGCTAGGGGAACGTGGCTGGAGCAGGCTGCACAGTTGAGCAGACACCCTCCTASTACAAGAGAAAGTCCRGCAAACCAGCCCAGAAAGAGGGCCTCCCCAAACTCCCACCTGGGGACAATGTCTGGGACGGTCTCATCCCAGAACTCCTGAACTGTCGTGTGGGCAACCCAAGAGACAGGAACCAGGGCTGTGATTCCCGAGGTCCAGGACAGAATTCCTCCCAGGATTAGCAGTCGCCTCTTGAGATCTCTCTGACTCTCTCCAATTCTCAAACAGTCCAGGCCAAACCCGGATGCCAGCAGGCCCAGAAATCCCAGCCCATTTGACAGAAACATTAAGATCCTGGAGATCCTGAGTTGAGCAGGCAAAGCCAGGAAGGAGTCAAAGTCCTTGCACTGCATCCCCACTTCCTCTTGGACAACACAGGTTTGCCAGAGTCCCATGGTCCAGTTTTCCATTTCATTTAAGTCCAGGTTGAGGTTCTTCCAGTGTGGCAAATAAGTTGTAATAATGGATAAAATCCATCCCAGGAAAGATAATAAAAGTCCAACAAATTGCATGGCTATCCTAAAGATTAAAGCCATTGCCACAGTCTTAGAACTTTGCCGCCCCTATAGGAGCTGCTGTCTTTTGCAGTGGACAGTAATGTGACGATCTCAGTTCTATGCTGCCTGGAATATAAGCTGTGGTCCTTAACTCTTTGGGCACTCTGAAATGCGTTTTTGTTCTTCTTGAATATAATGTTTCATGTAAAGGACGAAGGACTCTGTTAAAACTATGAGTTAGGCTTTCTGATAAGGACTTGATCTGTTACCTTCCAATTTGCTTGGTAAAATTATATCCCCAATGCTTGATGATTATAAGTCTAAGGATGAACAAAGAGGGCTCTATGACCCCTCACCCTAAAATACAACAGAAATCTTTGTGCTTCAATATGGATTAATTAGATTTTAAGTGGTGATAAAAGACCAGCTCTTTCTACAACAGGACTTCATTGTAAGAGCTGAATCTGAGATTTCAGGGATGCAAAACAAGGCCTTGTAAAGAAAGGTAGACTGTTTCCTATAATCTCTATTCTTCTCAGACTTCCTTAACCTACACAAGAGCCTGGCCCACATCCTCGAGTGTCGCAGGAGCTCAGTAGGACTTGGCAGGAAGGTTCCCAGAGTCCTTTGAAAGGTAGAGGCTGACTTATGGGGCTGATTAAAATGAAAAGGACCGAGGCTGATGCCAGGGGCTACTGAGTGTGGAAGGGAACGTCCCAGAAAGTTCCAGCATTCACTCGGGTTTTCTCTATCCTCGTTAAGGACTTGGGGGTAAAGCAGGATGTCTCAGCGTCCAGGGAAGTGTTTTTTGTCCAGAGCTGAAGCTGTCCCCATTGTCATTTCAGCAGCCTACACAGAGCAACACCAGGCTTCAAAACTCCTGCCAGCTCTCAGACAAAAGTCTCTGGTACAAACACAATAGCCACAATGGGGCTGAGCTTTGAGGCTTCATCTCGTTTATTTTTTTGGTTGAGGCCACACCTTGAGAGCATACTTCTGCAGAGGGTGACCCCTCAGAGAACACAGGCCAGGACAAGAGGTCACCTGCCCCAGATTCCCAGGGCTGCACCATCTCCCCTCTGCGTCTCCTCTCCCCTGGGCATCCTGCACCTGCTCTGAGGAGATAAAATCAGATGGGCCCACAGGACGGAAAGGTCTCTAAAGGTGGAGCCACTGCCCTGGGAGGCTCCAACCTGGAGAAATAGAACCACTGCCCACACATTGCAACAGTTAAGTGGAGTCCAGGATCAGAGATGATCTTGTATGGTGTCTCTAGGAGATCAGAGAGACAGAACCTGGATCCCGATGTATCCAAATTACTTTGAATAAGATTGCATAAGATTTAGATTTGAAGTGGTACTGTCTTCAGCTTTTCCCATCATCTTAAGTTTAAAAAGTATGCCACCAGCTGAACTCTTCCTTAATTTTTACAAATTTTCAGAGTTCCTGAGGATATACTGGTGCCCTCACCATCCTGAAATAAGTCATTCCAGGATGCAAAAAGATACCCGGATCCAGAAGGCCAGAGACCTGTGTGGGGCCTCATCACCAGTGGACGGGATATGGCAAGCTAGAGCTCTCTTCCAGGAGGCAGTCAGGGCAGCAGAAGACCTGGAGAGCAGGCATGCACGATCACAGGGAGATGATCCTTAATATCACATTGAAACAGTTTTTGAAACCTAATGGAGTAGGCTGCTCCGTGACATGGTGAGCTCTCCCTGCTACAGGCATCTAAGCTACAGGTTCTCACCTGCCCGAGTTACCACGGAGGGGTTTCTGCTGTGGTGGGAGTTGAGCCTACATCACCTCTTAGCACTCCCCCAACTCATTTATTCTTTCAGCATTAAAAAAATATGTCGTGAGCCCCTCCTGCCAAGCAGGTACTGAGTGTTGAACAGTTTGGATTCGACCCCTCCCCTTTGGGCTCACAGTCGCTCAAGAGGCCATCAGGAAACAAGAGGACTGAAAGAAGTCAAAAGAGCTGGGGTGTGAGTGTTCCAGGCAGACGTGCAGAGGCAACAGCCCTGAGGCAGGCATCTGGGCAGGAGTGGAAAACTTGAAGGCAGTCTGGATGCGGCGCTGGGAGGGTTCCCACCCCATTTCAGTTCCGGAATCAGTGCTGAGAGGTTGCTCACAGAGCGGGGATGCAGTGAAATTTGGACAGCAGACATAATTATCACCATGTTGTGCAGGGTGTGGGGGCTACATTGTGTCTGTCTCAGGATTGTTCATCTACAATATGGGGGTAGACGCATGTATCTCAGAAACAGAACTGGAGAAGTCAGCAGACTGATGGAAGCTTAGGGTGACCACCATCGCAGTTTGCCCAGGACTGTCAGGATTTTAGTACTGAAAGTCACCCATCCTGAAGAATGCCTCAGTCCAGGGCAAGGGTTGATAAACATCCCGTAATAAGCCATCCCAAAACTTAGGCACTAAAACAACCATCATTTCTCATTTCTATGTATGTGTGTTTTTTGTTTTTTGAGACAGAGTCTTGCTCTGTCACCCAGGCTGGAGCGCGGTGGTGTGATCTCAGCTCACTGCAGCCTCCGCCTCCCTGGTTCAAGCAATTCTCCTGCCTCAGCCTCCCGAGTAGCTGGGATTACAGGTACGCACCATCGCACCCAGCTAATTTTTGTAATTTTAGTAGAGACAAGGTTTCAACCTGTTGGCCAGGCTGGTCTCAAACTCCTGACCTCAGGTGACCCACCTACCTCAGCCTCCCAAAGTGCTGGGATTACAAACGTGAGCCACTGCACCCAGCTGGAAATTTCTATGTATTTTGCTCATGAATGTGCAGCTTGGGACTCAGCAGGGACCACTTGTCTCTGCTCTGGGTGGCATCAGCCCAACTAGGGGCTGGAAGGTCCCTTTCCAAGGTGGGTTGCCCACAGGGCAGACTACCAGCAGGGAGTTCAGCCTCTATTGTCATGTAGGGTACAAAACCACACAGACAAGACCACCTCAAGCCAAACTGTAGCCAGACTGCTGCTGTCAGCAGCCCCCACCTCACCGGCTGGCAATAGGAGCTGTGGACCCTGGCCCTGCAAGAGAGGGTTGAGGAAGGACCAAGTCAGAGGCCCAAGATGTCCAGCAAAGGCTTTGGATTCTGAAGTCAGCAGAGAAGCCAAATCTTTCGTTGTCAAAATTACCCTTTAAAAACCCCTTAAGCACTGGAGGTCAATGCACATCTCTCTCCAAGCCCGGCTGGCTGAGACCTTCTCTGACAATGGGCAAGTTTACTCTGGGCCCACAGGTTGAGCACAGAAAGAAGAAACAGGCCTGGTTTGGCATCTTGTGGGAAGAGTATCTGCTGAATCCGAAGGCAGCAGACTCCAGCGAGGAGGGCACTGGGAGCACCTGGGACATCACAGGTGTTCCCGCCTTCCTCTGCAGCGCCCAGCAATGCTGCCAGGAAGAGCCTCCCTCTCTCCTAGCAGGCACAGGCCTCCCCGGCACTTTGATACACAGGTGAAGATGAGAGATTCCTCTTGCCAAACACGATTTTATCTGATTAAAATATGTTTTGTTTTTGGTTTGTTTTTTTTTTTTTTTGAGATGGTGTCTCTCTCTCTCACCAGGCTGAAGTGCAGTGGCGCAATCTCGGCTCACTGCAACCTTCACCTCCCGAGTCAAGTGATTCTCCTGCCTCTGCCTCCCTAGTAGCTGGGACTACAGGCGTGCACCACCATGCCCAGTTAATTTTTGGTTTTGTTTTTGTATTTGTTTTTTCTCAGTAGAGACGGGGTTTCACCATGTTGGCCAGGATGGTCTTGATCTCTTGACCTTGTGACCCGCCTGCCTCAGCCTCCCAAAGTGCTGGGATTACAGGTGTGACCACCGTGCCCTCCTTAAAAGAAAATTTATATTTTATTTTTTCTTAATATTTCTTATCCTACTAAATAGTAATTCACAGTGCTAATTCTATTAAGCTCATTGTTAAGGACAAGACATGCTGTTACCCTCACAACCCCACAGCCCTCATAGCACAATACCTTGTATCTGCTATGTGTTCAACAAATATTTGTCTAATAAATGGATTAGAAGGATCCTTCTAAATGATAGTGAAAGTAAATATAGAACGCCAACACTATAGATGCCATTCCCATTGCCAGTGGCTTTTCATCATGGTGACAAAGCCAGCTGTCTTGGAGTGTCTGAGCATGAGTAATGGACTTAAATAGAACTGAACTCACCACCTGCCTAGAATGGGAGAGGAAGTATTGCTGAAGCCTCACACGTTAGCGAACAAGGGCATCCCCTTCCAGAAGGGCATCAAGAATGACATCTCTTAGGTGCGGGGGAAAGACTAGCAGGCTGAAGGCACCCCAGAATATTCACAGGGTGCTAGAAATAGATGCTTTTTTTCCTGGCTTTATTTTTATTTTCTGAATTTTCTACAAAGACTGTGCAGGACTCTCATAAGAAAAAATGATATAAAAGGAAAAAAGATGATCTGCTGGACAGAATGAACTTTCTTTTGTTAGATCGTAATAATAGGTAACAATTATCACAAGCCTTCTACATACTGGGCACTGTTCTGAGACTTTAACAATCCTCACAATCACACAGTGGGGGTACATACTGAGTGCATCACTCTTACAGATGATAGGGCTAAGCACAGTGGGGCAAGTAACTGGCTTGAGGTCATGGAGTCATTTACAGAGCCACGGAGGCAGCACCTCAGTTCCTCTCCCAGTGATATGGTTTGGCTGTGTCCCCACCCAGATCTCATCTTGAACTCCCACGTGTTGTGGGAGGGGCCCATTGGGAGGTGATTGAATCATGGGGGCAGTTCTTTCCCATGCCGTTCTCATGACAGTGAATAAGACTTAGGAGATGTAATGGTTCTATAAGGGGGAGTTTCCCTGCATAAGCTCGCTCTCTCTTTGCCTGCTGCCATCCACGTAAGACGTGACTTGTTCCTCCTTCCCTTCCACCATGGTTGTGAGGCTTCCCCACCCACATGGAACTGTAAGTTCGTTAAACCTCTTTCTTTTGTAAATTGCTCAGTCTCAGTATGTCTTTATCAGCAGTGTGAAAATGCATTAATACACCCAGAGAACAGAGGTACCTGGGGCTGGACCTCTGAGTCTATACTGCACAGTGTTGTTCCAGGCAGAGCTTCTGCATTTAAGCCACCTGAGGAGCTTATTCCAGCTAAACTTTTGGGTTCTCCCCTCCCCTGCCTGCAGTGTGCCGGTAAATGTTTAAAACAGCAATGGTCAGGTTAGCAGCCCTGGATTACAACCTTTGCCCATTTCCACGGTGTCAATACTCTCACCGTGGCCAATTCCAGGCTACCAGTGTGGAATCACTGATATGCAGTGAGTTAGGAAGAAATAATACAGTCATATAATGGTGACTGTTTATAGCAACGAGGACATGTGCTGAGAAATGAGTCATTGGGCAAGTTTTGTTGTTGTGTGAACATCACAGAATGGACTTACACAAACCTAGATGCCGTAGCCTGCTACACAGCGAGGCTGTGTGGTATGGCCTGTTGACCCTAGGCTGCAGACCTATACGGTGCGTTACTACACTGAGGACTGCAGGCAGTCATAACACAGTGATGAGGATTTGTGTATCTAAACATAGAAAAGAGCAGTGGAGGCCGGGCACGGTGGCTCACACCTGTAATCCCAGCACTTTTCAAGGCTGAGGTGGGCAGATCATCTGAGGTCAGGATTTCAAGATCAGCCTGGCCAACATAGTGAGACCCTGTATCTGCTAAAAATACAAAAAATTAGCCAGGCGTGGTGGCGTGTGCCTGTAATCTCAGCTACTCGGGAGGCTGAGGCAGGAGAACTGCTTGAATCTGGGAGGCAGAAGTTGCAGTGAAAGTCTCGTTATCTCACGTTTCTGTCTTCTGAGGCCCTAACTGGTATTTATGCCAAACTTTCAAGGTATTAATGTCTAAGAAATAATGGGAGACATCGGCTCTGGTAGTGAAGGGAACATCCTTTTTTCAAAAAAAAAAAAAAAAGATGCAGAGGAAATGCAGTATTATAATCTCACTGTACACATCTTTTCTTTCTTTTTTCTTTTTGAGACAGAGTCTCACTCTGTCGCCCAGTCTGGAGTGCAGTGACGCAATCTCGGCTCACAACTTCCGCCTCCCGGGTTCAAGTGATACTCCATGACAAGCACAGACACTGCACATCCGGGGCGGGGGGTGCTCTGGGGAGCTGGGGGCAGGATTCCGCAGGTTCCAAGCTCCTCCAGCACATCTCACACACACCGATGCCTGTGAGTTTGAGAACGGGGCTGTCTGGCCTTGCTGCCAGGAGCACAGGTTTGCAGAATCCTCAGCCAAGCCCAGCCCCACGGCTGATGCTCAGCCTCTAGGCCATGGAGGAGGCAGAAGGGCAGGCTGGTCTGGATTTTGCCAACCCCTCTCCTGTGGTGCCTATCTCTTGATTTTTGCTGTTTTGCTCAAGTGACTTGTCTGAAATGTAGAGTGGTCCCTTATGCCTTTCTGTTCCAATCCTGCAAACACCACCCGCTTGACCTACAGACATTGAAGATGATGGTGGTTAAAAATATATACTGCTTTTAGATTTATAGTACTTATCAGTTACTCGAATTGATGCATTTGATTTTATCATTACCAGCCGATCTATTAGTTGAGTGCTCCTGAAGTTTTCATCAGAGGGTTTGGAGAAAGAAAAAAGGAAAAAAAAAAAATCCAAGTTCTTGGCCATTGGAGGAAAAAAGAAAGCCAACCAGAGACTCAAAGGAAAAAATATGTAAACAAGTATAAACTAATACTTATCTGGTAGCTGGAACTTTAAACTTGCAGGCAGTGGCTTCCTACATAAGAGGATCTTTAGGGAGCCACCAGCAGAAGGTTCCTTCCCCTGGCCTGACACTTTTTGCCCAGGACATTCAGGGGGTGAATGGAATGATAGCAGGTGGTGGGAGGGGTACAGCCCAGCAAAGTATCACCAGGCTAGATCCAGAGGGGTATGTGCAGACCCCTCCAGGAGGTCTCACTGCTGCTGCCCTCAGCTCCCAGCCCAGAGGGTGCATGAATGAAGACATCCAGGATGTGTTGCCTCCACGTAATTACTCAGCTGTGAGTGGCTCCAGAGGTGCCCTCCATCCGTTTCAGGTGATGGCATTTAAGAGAGGAAGTAGGGGAACCCTAGTCAATATTAACTTGGTCTCTGCTTGTGTGGACACTGGCAAGGAGGAGTGTGTGTATTTCCAGCAGCAGGAAACAGACCCTTTTTGTAGCCGGGTGGGTGGGCGTGGAGTGTTTCTGAAAGCCTTGTTATCTCATGTTTCTGTCTTCCAAGGCCCTAACTGAAATATTATGCCAAACTTTCAAGGTACTAATGTCTAAGAAATAATGGGAGGCATCAGTTCTGGGTAGTGAAGGGATCATCCTGTTGTGCAACATGCAAGGGAAAGAGGGACAGAATCACGCTGTCTCTGTTCTGTGCTGCTGTAACAGAACACTTGAGACTAGGTAATTTATCAGAAACGTATTTGGCTTGATCCCTTCGTAGTTCTTGAGGATGATGATTAGGTGTTCACGTGCATGTGTGAGATGTGCCACGCTCGAATCTTGTTACAACGTCAGCACGTTACCCATCTGATCTGAAAAAAATGAAAAAGAAATGTATTTGGCTCATAGTTCTGGAGGCTGGGAAGTCCAAGAGCATGGCACTGGCATCTAGCTGTGTCATGCCATGGCTCAAGGCGGAAGGGCAATAGCGGATGAGAGTGAGAGGGCAAGAGGGACTCACTTTTATAACGATCCACTCTCAAGATAACTCACTCCCAAGCATTAAGTGCTCCATGAATACAACGCCCTTCTGACCTAATCACCTCTCATCAGGCCTCACCTCTAAACACTATTGCACTGAGGATTATGTTTCCCACATAGGAACTTCAGGGGACACATTCAAACCATAGCAAAAGCATAATAAAAATAGCCAGTGTTTACTGAGCACTTACTGCTTGCTAGGGATTAGGTTAAGAGCTTTCGTGCTGCCATATTCTCACAAGAACCCTCTCATACAGACTCCATTTCTATCTCCATTTAACAGATGAGGAATCTGAGGCTTAAGGAAGCCAATTCGTTTGCCAAACAGTAGTTCAAAGCCAGTCTCACACTGAAGTCCAGGCCTTAATCTTTTATGCTGTAAAGAGTGATCTGAGGCCACCATCATGGCTGCCTCTCCGTTTTGCCCTGAAGCTTTATTTGCTAAAGTCAGCACTCACTTGGCAATCCCAGAGTCAGGTTGGACCAGAGTCAGAACCCTGCATGCATTCTCCGGCAGTGGGGGCCGAAGCCGTGGGAAGCACATGCTGGCTTCGTGGCTGTAAAGTTAGAAACTGCCACAGCAGAGGGGCTTTACAGGGAAGATTACGGGAACTGTCCTAGCCAGGGACTCTGTCTCCACCCACTGCACAAATAGAAATGAAAAGACCTCTATCTTGGGATTAACTGGGTTCTTTTCTTTGTAAATCCTTTCTAAATATTAATCTAAGCTCCCAACCCTCGTAGCTAATGTTTCCTTTAAGTTTCCAGTTAACATATGGGAAAATCATTGCGAATCAGTGACAGCCTTGGCAGCTGCTCCTGAAGAGGTGGGTGTCTGGAGACTCACGGCGCCCTGGAGGCAGCCAACACCTCAGGCCTCACAGTGCCTTCATTTTCTAGTGAGCTGAGGATCAGTGGCAAGACTATGACCTGGCCTCCAGACTCGGATTCCAGGGATCGGTCCCCTCTGCTGCGCTGCTGGGTTCTAGCAAGCATCCACAGCCCCAGCTGGTGCCCCAGCAGTCAGAATATCTGCCCTTTTCTCCAGGAGAGAGACTAAACCATGCAAACAGTAACCAGACACCTGCCCTGTCCTGGAAGGAATGCTGGGAGCTGGCAGAGAGGGTAAGATGTGACATGGAAGTGTCTGACCCTGGGTAGAGGCAACAGGAGCACAGTCAGGGCCTTGGGTGGGTCCAATCGGGGACCATGGCAGGGAGCCCTGGACTTCATGAACAGGAGGGCTCTGGTCCTGCTTCCTAGAATGACCCTGAAGGAAACAGGATCCGAAAGACTTTGGGACCATGCCAGCCCCAGCCAGGAGTTGAGACACGGGACTTTCTGGACACAAAAGTTAAAACTGGAACTTGCACCACTGCCTGAGTCAGCTCTGCTGAGTCAGCTCTGCTGTTGCCCTTCTGTTTGGAGCACTTCCGTTGCACAGCTCCAGGGAGCATCATTTACACAGAAGATGGTGGCAATCCCCTCACTCTCATACTTTAAACAGACCAACTATAGTGTGAGCCACTCATTCAACAAGTGTTCACTGGGCATCTAGGGCCAGCCACAGGGTCAGGCCCTGGGTACACAGTTAACAAGCAATCATGGTCCCTGTCTCCATGGAGGCTGAAGTGTGATAGAGTTTGGCAGAAAACATGTATCCAGTGCCTAAATGAAATCAACTATGGCAAAGACAGCAAATGAACACCCATATGCATGCACGTCCCGCGCTTCCAGGACCTGCGGCCCCCAGCCTGGCAGTCATGACCCTCAGACACTCGCCAGGGAGAAGTGGGAAATCCCTCCTAAGCTGGGGGAGGGAAAACTCTGCTTCGGTCAGACCCACCGCCTGAACCTCAAGGAGCTCAGGTCACATGCTTAACAGGCCTTTCCAGAACCGCAAGCCTTCCTGGGGACCCATCTAGGCAGCTGACTGCGTCCCAGATACTTTAGTGCCTGGAGGGTATGAAGTCCCAGCTGGAAGCAGTGCAGGGTGTCGGGCACCAGCGTGGCTGAGTTTGGGGCGTGCGGGGCTGTGGAGGAGGCCTGCCTTGCACCTCCCACTGACACACACCTACTGCTGCCAGCCCCCCAAGGGCCACAGATGCAAGAGCTCCTTGCTCTCTCAGCAGGTTTTTCCCCTCAGGCTTTCCCAAAACAGTGCACTCACGGGGGCTGAAGGGCGTTTCTCTCTGAAATTCCCCTGCAAAGGCAATCACCGGATTGCAGTGAGACTTTTTGGCATGGCCTCCTCTTTCATAAAGTCCCTGTTGTCTGTAGTAATCCTGTGTCCAGCTCAGAGGCTGCTGGGAAAGCAACAGACTGCCCCACGCAATGGCAGAGCCCACAGGTCAAACTCCCCCAAAGGGGACACCATTTTACCCAGTCAAGGTAAAAGAGACATTGAAAGTCCCCACCTGATACACATAAAGATGGTCTCATTTGAGTTATTACGTGGATTTCTCCCCCAAGAGGATGAAACTTTTTCATACATTAAAGATTAATTGAATGCAAATGGAAGAGCTTGGGCTTTGAGATCAGAAAGACCTGGGTTCAAATTCTGACTCTGCTATTTAAACCTATGTGACCTCAGGCAACATGACTTCTCTGAGCCTGTCACCCAGTCTGTAAAATAGTGGTAATAACTGTGCCCAGCATTCACAGCAGAGATGAGGGATAGCATAGAAAGTCTCACAGCACGTGGTAGGCTCTCAGTAAATGGGAGTTCCTGTTTTTATTTTGTATTTGGTTTTTCAAACCCATCTTCAGAGGCAGCTGTGAAAGTGCATTTCATCTGCGGATGGGTTGTTTGTTGTAATACACTGGCAGAAACAGATGCCGTCTTCCAGTCTTTATGCAACTGGATTCTTCTATAATTGGTTTTCGTTCCATGGAAAAGGCTTGCCTGCCCGGAGACCCTGCTCTTCCTCCTCCCCTGATATGAGCGAGTGCTCTGTGCTTCTCACTGGGCTGCTCCTTCCCATGCTGTGCCATCCATGGTGTTTGTGCTAAGGTCTCACTTTCCTTCAGACTGAGAGGATCAGATACCCTGGTCAGCGACCGTGGTTCCTGCGGCCACTGGCCCACCTGCTCAATCTGGGGCTGCGGCTGGGGGGCCGGATCCAGAAGCAGCGTTTCTTGCCAAGTTTCCCTCCGATCCTCCTATGGGAGAAGAGTGTGCATGTGATCAGCACAAAAATTCCCCCAACCTTTGCTGGAAGGAAAATATTATTTCTAACGGGTAAACACTGAATAGATTGTACATGTGAAATACTTAGCACCTGCATCTGAATCTGTCATCCATCATCCATCCATTTGTCCACCTATTCATCCATCCATCTGTTCATCTGTCCACCCATCCATCCGTCTGTTCGTCTGTCCATCTGTCCGTCCATTCGTCTGTCTATCCATCCGTCTGTCTATCCATCCGTCCATCCATCCACCCATCCGTCCCTCCATCTATTCTTCCTGCATTACGTGTTCTTGTGTTGAGTGCCTGTCATAAGCGTGTCACACACGGGGGATCAGGGATGGAGAAGAGGGGTCCTCTCTGACAAGCAGCTCACAGACCATTCAAGGAGGAGGTGGACAAGCAAAGAGGCAACTGCGACGCCGTGTGACAAGTGTGGGGTGAGGGGAGGAAGGAGTGGGAAGAAAGACTGAGCACTTGACTAGGACATGTATCCTGTGCAGCATCACCAGGGGGTACATCATAAAGTTGGTGATGTTTCATGTCCATGCAAAGCATGATGGGAGCCACCAGAATTGAATGCCAAGCAGAGAGGAGGGAACGGACAACACAGGGGAAGGGAACAGCATGTGTGAGGCCACAAGGCCCCAGCAGATTCCCAGGCGGGGGGCCAGCGGCAGCCGCAAGGGAAGGGCTGGGCTCAGGGCTTCTCACTCTTTGTTGAGCCATTAATCCCTTGTGCAACTAAATGAGGTTTATGGGTCATTTTTTAGAGTAATGTCTTTTTATTTATTTATTTATTTTGAGACAAAGTCTTGCTCTGTTGCCCAGGCTGGAGTGCAGTGGCCTCATCTCATTGCAACCTCTGCCTCCTGGATTCAAGCGATTCTCCTGCCTCAGCCTCCTGAGTAGCTGGGATTACAGGCACGTGCCACCATGACCAGCTAATTTTTGTATTTTTAGTAGAGACGGGGTTTCACCATGTTGGTCAGGCTGGTCTTGAACTCCTGACTTCATGATCCACCCGCTTCGGCCTCCCAAAGTGCCGGGATTACAGGTGTGAGCCACGGTGCCCGGCCCAGAGTAATGTCTTTAAAGGCATCAATTATATACACAGGATGACAAAGGCAACCAATGACATTGAAATACAGTTATCACAACACTTAAAAAATAGCAATAGATGCCCTCTTTCAACACATTAAATAGCGAGATCTAGCAAAGGGCCTACAAGTACCATGGTGTCTCAGTGGTAAAATGTGTAAACATTTCAAGATATTGGCAACAGCTGCCATATAACATGAAAACATCTGTGGTTTCTGTTGGTGTCAAACTACCAGTGCTCCTAGACCACATGGTTTGTTGCCCACACTCATAATGAAAGGAAATGCTAAATTTCAGTTGGAAGTTAGTAGAAAATGTCCTCCTCCCCACCATTTCCTATCCCCAAGAAGCCCTTTCTTGGACTTCACAGCCTCTAGCCTCACAAACGCCTGGTCCCATCTCAGGTGGTGCCTCCGGCCGCAGCTCCTCAGTCACTCTGGATTCCATCACCTCAACAATCCGAAACTCGACCATGGACACATTTATGTCTTTGTCCTTCTCTCCTGTGGGCAGGAGCTGCGTCTGTCCTTTCACCTCGGTG